GCCTGTTCCTGTTTACTAATCTCATCTTCTAATTCTTTTCTTTTTGCCCCCTGTTTCTTTCTATGCTTATTATTCAAATATATCAAAATTCCTCGCATATATGCTTTACTTGCATCCCATACCATTTCCATAGATGTACCCTTTTGCATATTCATAACAAAAAATTCTTTCATAAATTTTTTACACTCTTTTACATTTTCTTCATACCTAAACAAGTTATCATTTAACCTCCAGGACCTCCTAGACCCTTTCCCACACTCCAATTCCAACCAAACTGAACTATGGTCTGTCAATATTCTTGAACAAATCTTCGTGTTCTTCACCCTAGATAAAAGATCATTAGTAATTAGTATAAAATCAATCCTTGAAAAGGATTGATGTCTGTCTGAGAAAAAAGTAAAATCTTTTTCTTCCGGATTTCTTTCACGCCAAATATCTCTCAGCTCCCAATCATCCATCATCTCCCAAAACGCTTTGGGCAGTTTTGCTCTTGTTAAAACATTTTGTTTAGGTCCCTTCTTATCTTTTTTAATATCCAAGACCCCATTCCAATCCCCCAACAGGATATAAGTTTTATATGCCCATTGTGTCAACTTCGAGTGTAGTAAATTGTAGAAATTTTCTTGTTGTTGATTCGGGGCATAGATTCCAATTACAAGTATTTTTTCTCCTTTAATTAAAAGTTCTATCGCTAAGAATCTTCCTTGGTCATCTGCTTCAATTAATTTAGCAACTAAGTCTCTTTTCAGATATATAACTATACCATTTTTCTTTTCTGGTGCTGCTGCTACGTAGTGTGTACCAAGTCTTGCATTTATCAGGTATTTTTGATCTTGTACTCTTATATGAGTCTCTTGTAGACAAATCACATCATTTTTAAATTGTTTGAGATAATGAAATATTTTTCTTCTTTTCTGTGGAGAATTCAAACCATTAACATTCCACGTCAAAAATCTAGTTCCCATCTCTAGGCCCTTGAAGCAACTGGAGCAGATTCTGGTGGTCTTGTCTCAATTGACCTTTAAGTCTTGCTCCTCCCACTGCTTCTATTTTGGTAGATTTTTGAATTGTTTCTTGAGTTGCCATCTGGAATTGTTGCTGTCTTGATACTTCTTTGAGCCTAGCTGTCACCGATCTGGTCTGTCTTTGATCCTTGGGGAACTCTGGGCTATCCTTGTGTGCCAAACCATAATAGTTGGTCTGCATTGGGATAGTAATTGGCTTGCTATCTTCCATTTTACATTTCACCAAAAGTTCCTCTATCTTCTCCTTTTGGGAGAGAGCAAAACCTTTTGGTGTAGTGATGATTTGTACGCCTAGGTACTTGTCCACATATCCTAAAGACTTTAGAGTGAACCTTTTTTGTAGGGTCCTGGCAAATGTATTACATCCCCCCTTGTCAGGCCCTATATATAAAAGGTCATCGACATACACTAGGACTTTCTCCAGCCTCCCTTTGGTATCCCTTGTGAAGGTACATTTATCAGCTGGAGATGGAGGGAAACCCAGTGATTTGAGTGTTGTAGTCAGGCATTTGTACCATATTCTGCCTGATTGTTTGAGGCTGTACAAACTTTTCTTCAGAAGCCAGGTGTGGCCTTCCTTCTGCTGGAATCCGGGGGCACCTCTGACGTAAATTTTTTGTTTTAGATATGTGTGTAAATAAGCAGTTTGCACGTCGAATTGAAAAATGTGTTCCCCATGTGCTGCTGCGGTGACCAAAGCAGCCCTCACACTTTCTGCTCTCACAGTGGGGGAGTAGGTTTCATCAAAGTCCTGTAAGTAGCGCTGTGCGTAGCCTTGTGCTATTAGCCGGGCCTTATAAAGGAGTTTGTTGTTGGGCAGTGGCTTGACCTTGTAGACCCAACGGGTGCCAATTGCCTTCCTCTGTTTGGGGACTTCCATGTGGATGAAGACTTTCAATTTTTTGAGACTGTCCATTTCTCGCTCCATTGCCACCCTCCACCTGCGCTGGTCTTCCTCGGGAAGCTGGAGGACATCTGTGTATGTTTTAGGGGCCATGGTAACACTGTTGACCAAGGCCATACAGCCAATGTCCAACCTTTTGGGTGGCACCCCTTTATTGGAGCGTTTTGACCGTCTGGGGAATTGCCACTCACCATCATCACTGTCATCCAGAGCATCGGTGTCAGAATTGGAGCTACTGGATGCATCTTTCCAATCGAAATGAGGCGGGCCTCTGTCCCAGGCGCTGCGAAGATATGGATGTTTTGGTGAGGCAGGAGGTGTGAAGTCACTCAGGGATTGCTTGTCCAAATCGTCAGAGTCAGGTAGGGATTCATCACCATCTGGATCTTCGCTGGTCTGTAGTTTGGAGTATGTTGGTTCATCCTCTTTAGGTGGTGCTGGTAGTTCAGTGTCATTTCTAATAGGGGAATAACCGGGTTCATTGGAATGAATTCTTGACCAATTTGACCCCTCCCCAAAGGAAGCTGATCTTGAGACAATGACAAGGTTATTTTTGTCTACAAATCTAGAGGCCTTGCTGCCGGTTGCATAACCTATAAATCTGAGCCTCCTCGATGCCTTGCCCCCCTTTCTTCTGAGGTGCTTGGGAATATGGACCCAGGCATAGGAACCAAAAATTCTCAGGTGTGAGAGGCTAGATTTCCTTCCACGGACCAGGAAGTATGGGGTTTGGTTAATGGCACTACTCCATGTCCTGTTGACTAGATAATTAGCCATTTTGACTGCTTCTGCCCAAAAACCTTGGCTCATGTTGGCATCTGCAAGTAAGCAGTTCATGACATTCTGCAGCATGCCATTTCTCCTTTCTACAATGCCATTTTCTGAAGGCGTTTGAGGCGATGATTTAAAATGGAGGATACCTCTTTCCTTCATCCACTTTTCAAAAGTCCTGGATGTAAACTCAGTTCCCCTATCGCTCTACACCTGAGCGATGCACACCTTGTGTTGCATTTGGATCTGGTTGTAAAGATATTTGAAGTTGGTAAAGACTTCAGTTTTGTCCTTTAAAATAAATACATGGCCACAACGAGAGTAATCATCGACTACCATTAAAAAATAACGCCCCTTGGCAAGGGAGGGCCTAAAAGGACCAACCAAATCCATGAGTACCAGCTGATAAGGGTACCTTGCATGTCGGGAAGAAACCTTAGGTATAGCAGAAGTTTTTGATTTGGCTGCCTTACAGATGGCACATTCCAAATAGGTATTACAATTCTTTATCTTAAGCCCATCGGAAAAATCTTGCATTTTCCTAATAACTGGGAAGCTGGCATGGCCTAGCCTGCAGTGTAAAATATGTGCACAATCCAAATGTAAAGGTTTACCCATGCACACTTTGTCAACCTTATGTATCTTATCATTACCAGTCTTGGTCTGTGCAGTAATGACAGTAGGCACTGGATTAATGGTCACCTTAGACTTTCTCAGGGTTGGCTGAGGAGTTGTGATCTTAATGGGCTCAGCCTTAATGGCTTTGGATGTCCTAGGAGCCGGTTTAGGAGCTTCATTGGGATTAGGTCCAGCATCCTTGAGTTTGGAGAACCTGGGGGCTGGCACAGGAGCTTTCTGCTCTATCTGGGCGCTAGCCCCCTGTGCCCTCTTATTAGGTGTCTTGTGCCTTTTGACCTTTGCGTTTGGGGAAAAATAAGGCAAATTGTTGATTTTTACAATATCGCCAACAACATCCCCACTTTCGAAAATATAACCTCCACCCTTCTCAAATACCAGTTTTACATTTTTATCCTCAGTCAATTTTAAAATACTTAAAAGGTTGTTCTTGATTGAGGAAACATACAGTGCCCCACTGACATCTCCTATACCAGGCACATTGATCATGCCTTCCCCAGTTACCTCTGCCTTGTCCCCAGTGGCAACTTTTACTGAAGACTTGAGTGGGTGTAAAATCTTAAATCGTTGCTTCTTGTTAGCTATATGCGTTGATGCACCTGAATCAAAAAGCCACAGCCCCTCAGCATCCTGTACCTGGGAGGTGGGATTATCACCTGTGACACTACAGGTGACACTTCCACGGCCTCTTTTATTTTTATTATGCTTAGGTCCAGCCGTGTTGGCCCTAGAGTGAGGGCACTCCTTTTTAAAGTGACCTTGCATGCCACAGTCAAAGCAGGTGGGAAGGGTATTAATCCTTTCACTTATGTCCTGACACCTCCTCTGAGGCCTAGGCCTCCTTCATTTCTTGTTATTCCTCATCTCTGCGCCTTAAATCTTCCTCAATAAAGCGACCAGAAAAGTATTATATATTTGTTTGTTCCCTAGAAACCCCTTCTAGAGAAATAATGAAGGGACTCCAGGATTGGTCTAGGGAGTTCAACATTACACTAATTAAAGTTGATTCAGGAACAGGCTCCCCTCTCTGTATAAACTCATTCCTCATGGCTTTAAGTGTTGCCAAATGTTCCCCCATCTTGACACCAGGTTTGAGTTTAGAATTGTGAAAAATTCTTGACAATCTGCTGGTTGCAGCCATATTGTCACTATGGAACAAATTATATAGGGCAGTCCAAACTTCCTGAGCTGTGAGACCGTCTGAAAGACTGGCATAAAGAGCTGTGTCTATAGAATTTAACTGGGTTGTGTAAGCTCTTTTATGCAGGAACTCGATTTCAGGACTCCAAGGTAAAGGAAGTGGTCTTTTGATCATGTCCAGAGTATTTTCTCTTAAGAGAATTATCTGAATCTCTTTACACCATTTTTTAAAATTCTGACCACTTAAATGTAATTTTTCAAAATTATTTGGCAAAGTTACAAAACTATTACCATTAAACTGCATGGGGAGTTGTTCAAAGGGCTGAAAAGAGCCTGTTGTGAATGGCATTGGGATCCCTAAGCCTGGGATCGATTGCTTAGGTCTGGCTCCTTCTTGTAGTCTTTCTGTAGTTTGAAGCAACTGGGCATGTGCAGGAAATGGAGCATGCTCCAAAGCCTTTTCTTGTTGAAGCTCTGATCTCCCTCTCTGGGTTCTGAATTCAGGCTTGGCTGAAGCCTCAGCATAGGCCTGATAATCAGTTGTGTGGCAGGGAAACCTTGGAGTAGCTCGAAGAAGGCCTGGAGATCTTTCAGGAGACTGGAGGCACATCAAATGAGGTTGGTCTGGGACCTCGGGGTGGCTGGTGGGTGGTTGCTCCCTAATTTCCAGGACGGTGATCAGGGTCTCTATGGCTTCTTTGATGCTTGCTGTGGTAGGCACGGCCTGGCAAGGGGCTTGTAGGTTCAGAGTGGTCCTCTGGGCCGCTGGAGTGCTGAACTGACTGGCTGGGGTTGTGGGCTTGGACCGTGGAGCTGGGGTAGGCCTGGCTTGTGGTTCTGGCAAAGTGCCCAGGGGAGCAGCCATCTTGGGGGAAGTTGGCTCCAGAAGGGAGCTGGTGGCCATTTTGTTTGGCGGGAAACTGTGTGAGGGGAGAGTCTCTCTGGCAGCAGGCGCCATCTTGGAGAGATCAGGCAGGGGAGTCCTTACCAGAATGGCAGGCATCTCTGGTGCTGCCTCCTCAGGCCTGTCAGCCTCAGCTTGCCTGCTTCAGCTGCCATAAGAAACGGGGAGGGATTAGTTATGAAGCAAAGGGGAGGAAGGGAGCAGGAGGTGGTTTTGTCTTTGTAGGATGGGACTTCGTGAGAAACGAAACTGAATCTTCAAAAGGGGACGGCTGACCAACTGCCCTACATTCCTGATGAATGACGCTGCCAGACGTGTTGCCACCTGACCTTTGGATTGGCTGATGATTTATGAACACGAGGGGGGGGGAGAGCTTAGTAGATGCATTTCGCGTGTTTTGCTCACTTCCAGCTTTAACTGGGTTGCTATTCATTTCAAATTCAGTAAAAGTACTAAATTCTTCAAGTTTGGGTTTTTCTTTCCTGGATACTGAAGGAAGCATTCTTGACATTAAGCTGGAAGTCTAATCCAGTCATCCCGGACAAAAACCGAGGGGACTGAAAATCCAAAGTATGTCAGATCGAGGGAGTGATGAAGAAGGGAAGATGGGGGCAGCGAGTTCAACCGCCCTCCAGTCAGAAAGAGAAACTGCAGAATGGTTGGAAAAACTCCGTTTGGAGCCGGAGGAAGCTAGATGGTCCAAAGGAGTGGAGAGACTGCCGGACTCAGGGGAGAACCCCCGGGGAGTGACGACTTCCAGACCCCGTAAAAAGGAGGCAGTGTGGATGCAACAGCAGAAGGAACGTCTCATGATAGACCAAGCCTTGCAGCTTATCCGTGATGTGGAAGAAAGCAGAAAAAACTGTGAGTCTTTTGAAATTCCTGTGGAGAAGGGGGAAGCAGACCCCAGGGGGGAGCCCGAAGAAACAGCCTGTGGGGGAGAGGAAGAGTTTGAGGAGGGAACATCCCAGGCTTCGGCAGCTCGAGGGAGAGATGCAGCCGGCCAGAGAACCCCAGCCTTGCAGGCCCCCCCCGCAGACGTAAAAAGCCAAAAATCCCCCCCCTTCCTGGGAAGTTTGATGGAAATCCTAAAGCCTTGGGATTTTTCCTAACCCAAGTGTGGAACCACATGCAGGATTGGGGGGAGGACTACGAAACAGAGTCAGAAGCGTTGCGAATACCTTAGAGGGAGTAGTGGCTGAGTGGATGGTGGTTCTCCACAATAACAACTCCCTCTTGCTGAGAAATTACAACCAGTTCATGAGGGCCCTTAGAAGGCGTTATGAAGACCATTTAGCTGAACGAAAGGCGAGACTCAGAATGAAGAGCATTCAGCAGGGCCGGAGGCCGGTGGCAGAGTATATCCAAGAGTTTCGTGAACTGGCACCCTATATGACAGGCTGGTCAGAAATGGCTCTTTTGGAGAGTTTCAAGGATGGGCTGAATGAAGAGATATATCGAGACTGCAGGAGCATGGGGGTCCCCGATGATTTGGATAGATGGTACATAGTAGCTGAGGACGTAGAGATCGAGCTGAGATGGAGCGAACTCCGAGGAAGGCATATGGGGGACCAGTCATCCTCTTTCCACCGTAAGGGGGCACCCAAGATGACTGGCGGGAAGACCGAATTCAACCCCAAGTCAAAGCCCTTCACCTGTTTCAAATGTGGGAAAGAGAGTCACCGGGCTGCTGAATGTTTCTCCAAGCCACCGCCAAAAGTTTCCGGGGCCGGCCAAAAGAAAGGCGACAAAATACCCGCCAAAACCCGTGGCACTGCCCTGAAAGGAGAAGTCGTTGAGTTCACTCCCCGAAACCAGAGTGAGTTGGGAACTCCGACCAACGATGACGACAGCGAGACGGACTCCGACTCCGACACTGACGATCGGGTGAGTCACACGGAAGAACCCTTACTTATTCCCGTAGAAATAAGAGTGCCCTCCACAGGGGCTCATGCGCAATTGTTAGCCCTGTTGGACTCGGGGTGCACTAGGTGCATAATTAGCCCCAAAGTAGTGGAGGAGATGGAACTGAGACTAAAAACTTTAAAAAGACCCATTGCATTTTGTCAATTAGACGGGTCGATTGCAGGAGGGGGCCCAGCTAGCTTTATGACTGAACCCCTTGAATTGCAGAACCCACGAGTAAATTGGAAAACGGGGGTCCTACGCATCCGCACGGCAGAACCAACTCCGGGAAAGGAAGGTCCCCACCTGAGGGACGACATAAGACCAGAAAGGGCGGCCATAGCCATTAACTATATTGAGGGAGAAGAGAAAATTCCAAAGGAATATTGGGACCTCAAGAAGCCTTCCCTGGACCCGGCAATGTTGGTAAATTATCGTCCGGTCTCCAACCTTCGTTTTGTTGCGAAGGTTGTTGAGAGTGTGGTTGTGCAACAGCTCCCCCAGCACCTGGATGAAACGACGTATCTGGATCCATTCCAGTCAGGCTTCAGGCCCGGGTACAGCACGGAAATGGCATTGGTCGCGTTGGTTGATGATCTCTGGAGGGCTCGGGACAGGGGGTGCTCCTCTGTCCTGGTCCTGTTAGATCTCTCAGCGGCTTTTGATACCATCGACCATGGTATCATGCTGCACCGGTTGGAAGAGTTAGGGGTGGGAGGCACTGTGTTGCGGTGGTTCTCCTCCTTTCTCTCTGACCGGTCGCAGTCTGTGTTGACAGGGGGACAGAGGTCGACCCTGAGGCCCCTCATATGTGGGGTGCCGCAAGGGTCGGTCCTCTCGCCTCTCCTGTTCAACATTTATGTGAAGCCGCTGGGCGAGATCATCCGTGGTTTCGGGGTGGAGTACCATCAGTACGCTAATGACACCCAGCTGTACATCTCCACCCCGGATCACCCCAACAATGCCCTTGAAGTGATGTCCCGGTGCCTGGAGGCCGTACGGATCTGGATGGGGAGGAACAGGCTCAGGCTCAACCCATCCAAGACCGAGTGGCTGTGGTTTCCGACGTCCCGATATAGTCAGTTGACACCATCACTGACTATTGGGGGCGAATCATTGGCCCTCACGGAGAGGGCTCGCAACTTGGGCGTCCTCCTGGATTCATGGCTGTCTTTAGAAGAGCACTTGACGGCCGTGACTGGGAGGATTTTTTTATCAGGTTCGCCTGATTCGCCAGTTGCATCCCTTTCTGGATCGGGACTCATTACGCACGGTCACTCATGCCCTCGTCACCTCCCGCCTGGACTATTGTAATGCTCTCTACATGGGGCTCCCCTTGAGGAGCACCTGGAGGCTCCAACTGGCGCAGAGTGCGGCCGCGGGGGTGGTAATGGGAGCGACATGGCGCTCCCATGTAACACCTCTCCTGCGCGAGCTGCACTGGCTCCCGGTGGTCTTCCGGGTGCGCTTCAAGGTTTTGGTTACCACCTTTAAAGCGCTCCATGGCTTAGGGCCTGGTTATTTACGGGACCGCCTACTACCACCAATAGCCTCCCACCGGCCAGTACGCTCTCATAGAGAGGGACTCCTCCGGGTGCCGTCAGCCAAACAGTGTCGACTGGCGGCCCCTAGGGGGAGAGCCTTCTCTGTGGGGGCACCTACCATCTGGAATGAGCTCCCCCCGGAGATACGGAGGATCCCGGATCTGCGCTCCTTCCGCCGTGCTGTGAAGACCTTTTTATTCCATCAAGCGGGCTTGGCCTAATCTCTTCCCTTTTTAAATATGTAAATTTTAATCTGTTTTTAAATTATTGGGGTATTTTAATTTGTCTGGGCCAAATAATTTAATTTGATTTTATCGGGTTTTTAAATTTTGTGTATTTATGTATTTTATTGTTGGCTGTTCACCACCCTGAGTCCTTCGGGAGTAGGGCGGTATACAAATCAAATAAACTAAATAAACTAAACAAACCTCAAGGAAGTGTTTAGCGAAAAAGCATCGGATGCTCTGCCTCCCCACAGGGCCACTGACTGCACCATTCAAATACTCCCAGGGGTGAAGCTTCCCAAACCAAAAATATACCCCATGACACTTTGAGAATTGGGGGAATTGCGAAATTTTATTGACAAAAACTTAGAACGGGGATTCATCGAACGAGCCAAACCCAAGGTGGCAGCGCCAGTAATGTTCCGCGAGAAGAAAGATGGATCCTTCAGATTAGTAGTTGATTATAGAAACATGAACGCCATTTGCGTAGAAAATGTCTATCCCCTCCCACTCATGAAGGACATGTTGGCCCATTTAGGGAAGGAATTTTTTTTTACCAAACTTGATTTAAGAGAGGCATACTACCGAGTGAGAATAAAAGAGGGAGATGAATGGAAGACAGCATTTAATTGCCCACTGGGATGTTTCCAGTTTAGAGTACTCCCTTTTGGACTACAGGGGCCCCCGGCTGTATTCATGCAGTTGATCAACGAAGTGTTGCATGAGCACCTATATAAGGGTGTGTTGGTCTATTTGGACATTATTCTAATTTATTCTGACAACATGGCTGACCATGTAAGATTGGTTCGAGCGGTCTTGAATAAACTCAGAGCAGCTGAACTCTATGCCAAACTTTCTAAATGTGAATTCCACCAAGACAAAATCGACTATCTTGGATATCGTATATCGCATGAGGGAATAGAGATGGACCCGGAAAAGGTCCGGGCAGTGATGGAATGGGCCGCACCACGCACCCGTAAACAGTTGCAGAGTTTCTTAGGGTTTGCTAATTTTTATAGACAATTTATCCCCTCTTTCGCG